AAGGGTTAGCACAGAACTGGGTATCTCAAGGCTCTGTCTGGTCCTGTCTTGATCCTGCAAGGAAGGAGACTGCAGAACCTGCCTGGGATCCTGCTTCACTGAGGAAACAATTTTTTAGCTTTTGAGAGATCGGCACATCTCCTGTTCCAATTTATGACCCCTCCTTCCCGTGCATCTCCATAAAGGGCCTAGCTCTGTCTTCTCAATAACCTCCCCATAAGTACTGGCAGGCTGCTGTAAGGTCACTGCAAATCCTTCCCTCCTCCAGGCTGAACAAGCCCAGGTCCGTCAGTCTTTCCTTACGGGCCGCACAATCCAGCCTCCCGACTACCTTAGCTGTTTGCTGGACTCTCTCAGTCAGGTTGTTTTGATGGTTCTGGTCAGCAGTTTGTTTACTCATATCAAAGAAGGGGAGGACAGATCTTGAAAAACTGGGCTACAAATCCCAATTTTATTTTTACGTTGATTTTGAGAGGGGCTTGGAATTTCTTGCCTTTCTAAACTTCATTAGTAGCCATTAGAGAGAAGGGACATCAGTTAAAGAAAAAAGAATATTTAAACTGATTTGTGAATAGATTCACTTACTGTCCTTCGTTCTGCTGGGATAGGGTTAATTTTCACAAGAAGCCGGGTAGGCTGACCCAAACTAGACGAACAAACAGGATATTATATACCACATGATCTCATGCTCGCTTTTCAATTGGGTGAGCTGGCCAGGGAAAGGCAATTTGCTACTTGGTGTGAGCAGAACATCAGGGTGGAAAAGCTGCACTCTCTATACTCTTTTTATCAGTATTATTGTTCTGTTAAACTGTCTTTAACCCGAAGCATGACTTGTGCTTTTTTCTTCCGATTTTCCTCCCCATCCCACCAAGTGGCCCCCCACCCCACCAAGTGGCGGGAGCCATAGAGTGGCTTCATGGTTCTTTGTTGCCACCTGGAGCTAAACCATGACACTTAGAAGAGGAAAAATAATCACGTTTTCACTCTCATTGTCCCCTCCTACAAGAGTAGAACTCAGAATAATTACAAGTTAATAAGATGTCTGATAAAATATGATTACAAACGACAGTTCACTTCTAGTGATACCAACTGAAACACTGAAATGGGTGGGAGTTTTACCACTGATGTGAGCAGATGTAGCATTTCAACAATAGATCAATGAAAACAATCTGAAAATATATTTGAAGGAAAAAATATGATTCTATACTTACTTTTTTCCTGAAAGGCAAATGCTTTTTGCCAACCTATATTGTCTTCACACTATGTAAATGCAGAACTCATTAAGAAATTACTCACCTCTTTGAAGCACTAAGGGAAATACACACCACTCTGCTTCTCCAGCAACTTCCTTCTGGATTTTTCATTTGACTTTTTTACCCTTTCTCACATATTCAACCTGGTGGAAAACTAGACTGACAAAGAGGCAGCTTCCGTAGTCATACCCTTTCAGCTGCAGCATGACATCAGATCAAACTTTCAGAAAATGCCTTTTTTCTGCATGCTTCTGGATTAATGCAACATTGGCCATTATGTGAAAAAGTGAAACAAACAGCAGACTTAAGATGAAAAATAAATGCCTATAGTGACAGCTGTTGACAAATGCCACAAAGTTATTGGCTTCCTCTACTCATCCTCTCCATTCAAAATAAAGACATAATGTAACGTTGTTAACTCCAAAGTATTAGCTAGAGATATTCCAATGGCAAAACCATACATCCAGTCCATAGTGTATGAAAATGTTCATATATTGTGCATTCATGACTGAATTCATACCCTTGCTGGAAAGGGATACACACAGATTTCAGTGCATTACCCAAACAATCCTGGCTGCTCTATAGTCTTCTATGCTTCAAGGAACATTGTGTTTGTTACAAACCATGTTTAATTTGATTTTAAACAAGAAACAACAGAGCAGATTTACTGATCCCTTAATCTCTATAAATGTCCTGGAAGAAAAAATATAAGAAATCCTTATCCCAGCCTGAAAGTTCATCTGGAGGGGTTCCCTCTTCAGGGGATAGCAGTCAAAGTACCTGTAATCAGTTGGCCAGACAAGTAAGACATTAAAAACATAAACAAATAGTTGTATCAAAAGGTACCTTTTGAAAATACTATTTATTGTTTATGCATAATTTTTATTGCTACCAGTGGAGGAAATAAAGTCTAACATGATATGGATGACTTCTTTCAGTGAATGCAATGCCTCGTTCTTTAAAAGATTACCTCCAGTAATTAAATTGGACAACAGAAAACCAGCATTAGTCTCCATATACAAAAACACACCCCAGATACTGTCAAATCCTAGATTTCACCCAAAACACATTAAAGTCAATAAGAAAACTGGGCCACATGGCTTACAATTTTGATTCAAATTTGTTTAAGTCCAAATCTCTACTGATATGGTAGATACTCACAGCAGATCTCAGTATTGTGTTTTGCTTCAAAATAACTTTCAGATTCTTTACCCTCAATCATTTTTCATTTTAGGGCAAAGAGAAACGGGCCTTTTAAAACAGGAAGCTTATTCAAGGATGTGCTGTAACTCGATAATAACAGAATACACGAATTTGTATTCCACACGGTGATGTGAATAGTGCATTGCTGAGTTTCAGCATCCGTGCAGGGACAGGAAAGACTCACACATTGATGCAATGCACAGTTGATCCCCTTTGTTTCTCCGCTTGCGTGGTTATATACGTTTTTCCATATCTGTACACGTGATCACGCTTATTCGGATAGGCTACAGACATAAATCACACACTGTTCACACACCCCACATTCCCTTATAATTGGTAACTATGCACTAGCGCTAATAGCAACAGACCGTCTCCACGTCCCTGAACACATCTTGTTTTTGCTAACCCACATCATCTGCGCTATCAGAATTTTGCTCTTGCCATCAGTTGTTTCTTTGTAGCCAAGCAAGTTTATATCAGTAAAGCATTATGATATTGAAAGCCAAAGCCAATGCCTTTCTTTTTAAAGGCGATGTTACTTTCCTCTCTTCCAGAACATCCCAGATAAAACCACTCAACCACCTGATCAAAATGAAATGAAAGACAGACAAGGACAGACTGAAAGAGAAGGACAGGTTGTTTTCTGTCATTATACTATTAACAGGTGAAAAACATGTGAGCAAGGGCTATAAGGCATTTTTTCATGACAAGTTCTGTCCATGTGATAACACAGTTGTTGAAGGAGAAAACTTAGGCACTGTCATTGCCATACAAGGGAGTGATAGCAGGGGGAGCTTCAGGACCACAAGACACATTGCATCTCTTCTGTAAAGAACTGCCAAAGTGACAGACAGTTTAATATAAACACAGCCATGCAAAGACGTAAGTGTCCCGTTGGAATTCCACCCTCTTTTTACAGCATAAGAGGGAGACAAGCAGAAAAGTCCAAACATTTCTTCTCCCAAGCACAAACTTCAGGGCTTAGAAACAACTGAGATAAAAGAAAAAGAAGGAAATGTTTAATCCACAGAGGACTTTCTTCATGAGAAGAAAGAGGACAGAACCTATTATTGCTCCAGAGCGCTTAACTGCCATTCTTAAAAAGGAACTTTTTAAGGGTTTGGAGCTCTGAAAGGCACATGCTGAACTGCCTTTGATTTCTCCGAGAACTGAATGCATCACCTACATCGGCACGCTTGCACCAAAACCAGTAAACAACAAGATATTGCTAGAAAATCATGCTGAGGATTTATGTTTATATCGTTGATCGTTGTAGTTGCAAATATACTCGATACCAACAGAGATCTCTCTTACAATCTGCCTGGAAGTGCCTAGAACTTCAAGGGCTTACTGCACTGAGTGCTAAAATTTTGTTATTGGCAGTTTCATTCACTTTCCTGCTTCTTGATGTAATTAGTTCCATTCCTCAGATTGCCTAATCTTTCTGTAGAGTTTTGCTTTAAAAAAAAGAAAAGCTATAAGGATGACAAATTGAAAAATATTCTTATGTTTTCAAAATAGAATTTATAGGTCCTAAATTCTTGCATTTAACAGTTACACAGGAAAGGAACTTGCATAAAACATGTAGTCTCTTAAGGAGACATAATGAAGTGTTGCTTACTGCTGCTTTCTTTTGAGGGTAGACAAACCTTCCAGGAAGCCAAAAGAGAGTCACTCTGCTTTGAGAAGCAGCATAAGGCAATCAACTGGTTGAATTTTAGTTGCTCAGCTTACTTGTCTAGGCCAGCCTGTCTGAATGAGTTACAAAAGGAGACAGACCAAAATTTGCAGGTACAACTACCTTTCAATCCTGCTGCACAAACACAGAGTATACTGTTCCTAGTACCATGGATGAAATACCACTTGAGTTGGAAATTCAAACACAACAGTATCACCAGCCACAGGTTATACATGCCACTACGCACTAATGCTTCTGAGTTACACCTTTCTGCACCTTTTTCAAGTGGGATTAAGTCAGTCTTTAAGTACACTACGCTTTCTGTAGGAGCTATATGCCTAATTTTGGAAGCGTTTTTTTTAAAACACTGTGTTTGACAATAAAATTAAATTATTTAGCTCTTTCCTCAGCCCATGCATAATAACTTTTCTCTAAGTTGTGTTTCAGAAAAAAATCACAGCTATAGAGAAAGCCCAGAGCCTGCATTTGTAGGTGATACCTATGCAGTCTGAGGTGTGATACACTCTCAGAGACATGCATGCATACTGAATTTAATCTGCATAGACCACACTAGGCATAACAATTTCAAATGAAATTGTTAGGAATTCAGTATTCTAATCTGGATCTTAAACAGCTCAATCTATCTACCCCCAGGCTCTGCCACTGCCACTCCTACCTGCAGAGTCTGCGGATCAAATCTGCAGGCCACCTCGTTATTATTTTAGGAAAATCCAACTTTTCAATGCCTTTGATAATTGAATTATATGTCATCATTTGATCAGACCCAGAGAATGGTGGACTAGAAAAAGAAATCAACACTGATAAATGAAATGGCTGGCAAGAGCATATGTGCCCACCTCTCATCAAAGCAAATACCTCTTTGATATATCCTTCACGTCTAAGATTAAATTTTCTGGCTTCATGACTTGGTAGAGAATAAAAGCCGCTGTCACACACCCAACACAAAATTTGGGAATGGCTTCATCGAAGCTGCCTCTGGAACAAAAATAATCACTGTCCTTTCAGACAACTAACTTCTAAAGAACACCTCACTTTTTAACCAGATAATGTAAATCACTCAGAATATAAACAGCTTTATTCAGTCAGCACATGACATTTGGTGGACTACTGTATCAAATGTCTTTTCATCTGACAGCACTTGAACAGAGAAACTCCTCAGCAGATGTATGAAGCTGACTGGTGATTTTAAAGCACTTCATTCTCTGTTACCTTTCTCTCAGCAATGTCCACAGATCACCTCCAAGGCAAGACTCTTAGAATTTATACGTACTTAAGATCCTTGAATGTGCGATATAGTCTGTGGAGAAAAACAGCAGCAATTTAGGAAAAAACAAAATAAAATTCGAGACTTGTAATGTCTTTTCTCCGGAACAGGGAAGACAGGGACCTTTTTTAGGAGGAGGATCACAAAATAATCAGAAGAATGGAACACCTCTTCTGTGAGGAAAGGCTGAGAGAGTCGGGGCTGTTCAGCTTGGAGAAGAGAAGGCTCTGGGGAGATCCTAATGTGGCCTTTCAGTATTTAAAGGGGCCTAAAAGAAAGCTGGAGAGAGACTCTTGACAAGGACATGTAGTGATAGGCCAAGGATTAATGGCATCAAAGTAAAAGAGAGCAAATTTAGCTTAGATATAAGAAAGAAATTCTTTACTTATGAGGTTGGTGACTCACTGGAACATGTTGCCCAGAGAAGTCGTGGATACACCCTCACTGGAAGTGTTCAAGGCCAGGCTGAATGGGTATTTGAGCAAGCTGTTCTAGTGGAAGGTGTCCCTCCCCGTGGCAGGGGGAGTAACTACATGATTTTTATGTCCCCTCCTACCCAAACAATTGTACGATTCCATGAATTTATAAATGCCAAACCTCATTCTTAACAATGCTGTCCAGTGGGTAAAATGTGGATCAACTTTCAAGGAAACCTTATGGTCAACTTACTTTACAACGAATGGAGAACATATCTGCTCGAGGATTTTTTTTAGAATAGATATGCTCTTGTTGTTTGGTGTCCACTACATGTCTCTACTTCTCATTTTCCACTTTAACCTGTTAATAAAAAGGATGAGTACATGTGAGGGAAAGAAAGGATATTTTACCAAGCTGTTCTCAGTAGGTATACTGATATCCGTCTTTTTCAACACAGCACAGGACTGAAATTGATTACTATAATGAGGGACAAATTCCAGCTTTTCTGCAGAACTGTTCTGTATGATTCTAGGTCAAGGATCACATCTTTTTAGTGTCCCAGTCCTCACTTTTGAAATAAAAGAAATGCTACCTGTGTTCATTGTATGTTTAGAAAATAGCTGGATTTTGGCTAGGTACTGTATTTTACAATTATTTTTTACCACAACATGTCGTAATTTCAATTTAAGATTTCTAAATACTAGCATAATACAAAAGAACAAAAAACAGATGCAGTTTATGAAGAATGTTCACAAATGATTTTGCATTACTCTGAAATATTATCCAATATGAAATAAAACAATGGAAGTTAAAAGAGGACTTCCAGGAAACCAAGGAAGCAGCTATTTCTCCTCTACAGATGTCTGAGTATTCAATTTTTAGCTTACATTCAGGTGATACTGTAGAATTTCCAAGCTGGCAGTCAAAAAGTGTGGAAAGTTTTTTCGAGAAGAATGAATAAGAATAAAAAAATTGATGGTCTGGCTACTGTAAAGGATTATTGACTTCATTAAAATCACAGTGTCTCCTTTAATTTACCGTTATATTCAGCCGCCTGCAGAAGAAGAGTTCACATTTTTTCAGATGTTTGCTACTCAGCCGGAGGAGAGTGGAATTTAAGACTTTAGTTGATAAGGCTCTTCACATCCCAGAAACACAGCTTTTCATGCTACTGAATATGACTCAAAAGAGCCATTACAAATTGATGGAAATTTCAAAGTCAACACAGCTTAGAGCTAGACCACACTGGTGATAGTTGCTGTGGGACATACCGAAGCACTTCTAACACCACAGACTAGGTGATGCTGGAGATTACTTCAGGTCCTGGCAGAACCTTGGGAAAAGGCCTGCAATTCAGACAACATAATGCAGGTAGGCAACTCTGTAAACTCCACACACACAAACTGAAGAACATATGTCTAGTGACAAGAAAGATACATTTAACAGCAGGACATTAAGGCAAATGAGAATGGATTTGTTTCTTTGACATCGAAGTCCTGAAAATATTTTTTAACTGTGCATTGTTTTATAAAGAATTACCTCTGCCAGAGAGGCAAAAGAACGCAGAATATTAAAATCCTGCACATTTTTCAGCAGTTAAATCAATGATCTAAGACACAGAAACACTTGAATATGTTTAAAACTTCTTCCTACAAGTTCAATCCTTCCGAATCCATCAACACAAAGATTTGTGACATCTTCTAAAGTCTGGAATGGGGAAGGAGGGAACTGGACTACATTCTCCTTCTGTTCTACCAGCGCCAAAGACACCTCTTTGGTCAATTGTCCACAGAAGGCTCTTCCTCTGCATTAAGAAAAGTAACATAGTTTATTACTTTCCTTGCAAGCAACCATTATCTTTGCACTCTAACACTCCTATTAAAAAGTTTTCTTAGGCTTTAGGAAATCCTAACAGAAACTTGATTTTATTGTATGAAGAAGCACTTTCTTTACGGACATCTTACAGCAGTAAATTAGAAGAGAAATGCCAGTGAAGTTCACAGACTACAATCAACGATCTTTTTATCAAGAGCTGCTCCATAATGAGTTTCCTAATCATGCAGTCAACTGCAAAACTCTGAGCACGCCAAGAAGAAGAACCAATTTCTGAAGGACTGTGTACCAGTTCCAGTAGAATGATCAGAAATAAAATGAAGACATATTTCGAAACAGAAATAAAACACACTCTGCTGATCTTCTAATAGTGGTCAGTTTGAAATCAGAGGCAGATAAACTAAGTGTGTTCCACAACAAAAAGCAAACTTTTAAATAGCACAAGTGCCACACTGAAACATCAAACGTAAACTTTCTTTTATGTCTGTTTTTTTCATTTTGAAATTGCAATTAGTCTTTTGTACAGTAATACAGTTTCATTAATTCAATCAGGAGTTAATGATGACCTTTAGCGTTTTTACCAGTCATACAGTTTACCATCAGAATGCAAAAAATTATTTGAGCACAATTTCACTTTTTCATACTCAGTTTTCTTGGGATAAAGTAAATTCCTCATTGGAAGTCAATATACTGAGAATCTAGGTAATATTTTGTTTCAGAAAAAATTTCTTAGAATCCATAAGCATACACCGGCAGTTTTATTATAGTGACTGCTGTCATTCCTAGGGGCCCATCTCCATGAACTACCATCCTAGCTGTAGCTTTACTTACCTAGCTGTAACTCTTTTTTATGATTACCTACTAAAGATGTACCTAACAAATGATCTTTGTTACTTTGCATGTCGCTTCTTGTCACCCTGGGCAGATTATCCACATAACCTTAAAGGTAACTTTGGAGCTCCTCGTTAGGTTCCAACCGTTTGATTAAATGTCCTAAAAACACGAATGATACAGTATAAACTACTGAATGTAAAGCAGAAAGACAAATAGTGTCTGTGCTTTTGCCCCAAGGTTTTACATTGTCTCTAAGCCGTGATTCACACTGAGCTTTACACTATCACATAGTATAAATTTTAAGAGCTTTGAAGAGGCAGTTACAAGCTGAAGTACTAAAATTGTTTTGCCTGAGGGCATGGGGACAATGTGCCTGATCTCCTCAGGACCTTTCATGCTATGTTTAAATAATTCAGAGCAGTCTGGGTGTACTTTACCTCTGACATGAACTATATGGTTATTAAGTGTATTTCCACCATTCGTATCACAGGAAACAGCTTGGCATGAGTCCAGGCTTTCAGTCCTTCCATCCCAATGGGTACAGTTGTTGGTACACAGTGGCAAAACACTTGAGATGACCGCTCATGCTTCACAGGTGAATAACAGCATGGTGGGACAAACAATATGCTCCAGTAACGACGTGGCTGGGAGCTCACGGACCCCTCACTCTCTCTTCACCCTGAGG